AGAGTATATTGCACATAGTAGATACATTTTGATTCAATTAGATATGTGTGTGTTGAAACTCATTGCCGTTGAGTCGATTCTGACTCATAGCGACCCTACAGAACGGAGTAGAACTGCCCCATAGATTTTTCAAGGAGCACCTGGTGGATTTGAACTGCTGACCTTTTGGTTAGCAGCCATAGCACTTAACCACTGTGCCACCAGGGTTTCCATGTGTGTGTATAACATATTTTCACATATTTTAATGCATATATGTAATGGATTATGATGGAAAATGTCATTCTTTCTGTGACCACAGTAAAAAAACGTCTGAATGCCATTGGCCTATGGAATCAAGACCATGCTGCCAGGCCTGATGTTCAAAGCTGTAGAAGCAGGAGCCATTGTTGTGGCAGATCAGGCAGTCTTCATGTGAAAGGATGACTGTGAACTGGGTTTGGAGGACGACTAGGCTATCAGTGAACAGAGGGAACAGCATGAGCAAAGGTCCAGAAATACAACTTTCACACCTAGGTCATGCTGGTGTTTCCACTCAGAGGGGCTGGGGCCCTGGTCTCTGGGAGCTTGCAGTGGCACGAGGAGCGTGGGCATGTGTGATGGGAGCTCAGAGGAGGGAGCCCTTAGATCTGTGGGGGAAAACCAAGGGCGGCTTCCTGGAGGTGGCAATGCCAAAGATGAATTCTAAGGGAAGAGTTGCGGATTGCCAGGGAAACAGAGGCGTGGGGAAGGCTTGGCTGGCTGAGTGACTGGCGTATGAAAAGACACAAGAAAGCCCATCATGTTTGGAGAACTATAAGCCATTTAATGTAGATGGAGCATGAAGTCTGAACCAGGAAGGGGTCTTCACATGCCATGCTGAGAGTCAAGATTTTTTTTTGTGATGCAGAGTTATGGAAGAATTTTGAACAGAGCAATACATCAGATTTAAATCTTTGAAAGATGACTCGGCAGCCCCGAGGAGGGTGGCTTAACGGGGAGGGGACAGGAGGCAGGGAGACCTGTAGGGTGACTATTGCAATAGTATGGCCTGAACTAGGGCAATGGGGGTGAGGATGGAAGGTGAGAGGGTGCTCAGGAGGACTTGGCAATGGATGGATAGGACGAGCAGCAAGAAAAGGGAGGCTGTGAGGATGACTCCTGTGTTTCTGACTCTGGAAACGTCTGGCTGGTGGGGCCATTTGTGGAGATAAAGAACACAGGAGGCAGAGAAGGTCGGGGAGAAAATGTGTTTAAGTTGAAAGTGGTACTTCTAGGTGGACATGTCAGATGGAGCAGAAAAGAGAGCTAGACCAGGGGTGCTGATTTGGGTGTCATTGGCTTGGGGAGAGTACCTAGAATAGAGGGAAGGCATGTAGATGCAATTTTAGGGAGCAACTTCTAAGAGTGTCCAGGGAGAGAGGAGCCCACTAAAGATGGAGGGGAGTGGCCTTCTTAGAGGCAGAAGATCCAAGAACTTGGGTCACAGAAACCAATGGGGTAGAGTGACCTAGAAGGAAAGACAGCAGTGCAAATGCTACAGAAAATCACATTCTCTGAAGGCTGTCACTGGGAGGACACAGTGGTGGGTGGTGAGGGCGGAAACCAGGGGCTTCGGGAGTGAGTGGAGGTGACATAGGAGGCCCTGTGTGGTGCAAAAGGTTAAGCACTTGGCTGCTAACCGAAAGGTTGGCAGTTCAAGTCCACCCAGAGGCACCTTGGAAGAAAAACCTGGTAATCTACTTCGAAAAATCAGCCATTGAAAACCCTATGGAGCTGAGTTCTACTCTGACACAGGTGGGGTTGCCATGAGTTGGAATTGATGTGACAGCAGCTGATACGGTTTGAAGGTGATACAGTGGGGCAGAATAAACAGGGCTGCATCTAGACCATATGGCGCCTTTGTGAGAAGTAGAAAGAGGTGCCCTTCCTTCAGGCAGATAGAGCCCTCATCCTAGCACATTGGCTTGGTGAGAGGAGGGCAGGCTGGACTTCAGCCCCAACATGCCGACAGTGGAGCGTCTTTGTGCAGTGAACAACCTGCACAGCTGAACACCATGCCCTGAGAGTATGGGCCAGCCTCTCTAGAAACTGACTGGGAGGGAAGGAGTGAAGCAGTCATTCACCAAAGGGAATGTGGGATCATGTGAGGATTTTCTGTTTTAGGATGGGAGAGACTCATGCCTGATGATTCTGCTGAGGGGAAGGAGAGTGGGAGTTTGCAGATTCAGAAAACAGAGGTGATACAGGGTGGGGAGACCTGCAACAAGAAGCTGGCGGGAGCCCCAGCAGGAGGGGCACACCTTGTCCGGGGTGCGGGGGGCAGGGCAAGGCTGAGGGACAGCAGGGCTTTCTGTGAGCCCAGGGCCCAGGGTGCAGGGCCAGTGCTGCAGGGAGAGTTAGCTCAGAATCTCTGCCATGGACATGGGACAGGACGCTAAGCAGGGACACCAAGGCACAGCCGAGACTACTGGTGACCAGCAGCTCCAGTGCCCAGGCTGGGTGACACACAGACTGTCCAAGGAGAGGGCCAGGAACGGACAGGCCAGGGTGGGAAGGTTTTGACATAGAGCCTTGGTTTACTTGCTATTTAACTATGGAAAAATTTTAAACACACCCAAAAATAGTGAGAAACTAAAATGAACCCCCTTATACCTGTCATTTAGCTTGGACAATGACTAATTTTGCCAGTCTCATTTTACGTATTCTCCCTGCCCACTTTTTAAAGTACCTTAAAAAAAAAATTTTTTTTTTTTTCCGATTTGGAAACAATTTCAAGCTTACAGAAACCTACAAAACCAAGCTTCTTTATTTTTAAATAAGTTGTTGCTTATTATAGAATATATTCTCAGAATGTTTATAGAAGAAAATATCATTCATGATTCCACCACCCAGAAATAACCACTGTCATTATGTTAGTGTATTTACTTCAGTCTTTTTTCTGTGCTTATATACATTACACACACACACAGATTTTTATATACATATTTTAAATTGGACTATTCTATCCAGAAACTAACCCTATCTCCCAAAGCCCTCCTGCCTGGCATGTCCACACGAGTGGGCTCAGTCCCAGGCCCTCACCTCCCAATTCCCTCTACACGTTGTCTGCTGTGAGCAGACAAACATTAGCCCCAGTCTTTGGCTTGTGGAAGCCCTCGTTCTGTGGTTTCAGCGCTGGTGCAGATTTCCCTTTAACATTTGTTTTTGTTTTCCCTGGGTAATATTGGTTGACCTCTGGTGGAGGAGTTGCCCAACGCTCCTGCGCCACCATCTTAACTGGAAGCCTCCTGCTGCATCTCATGCACCTCCACACACTCCTCTCTCTGGATTCTGGGTATCTGTGTTTGGGTCTGTCTCCCTCACTCCTCTGTGAACTCTGTGAGGTAGGGCTCGTGTCTGATTCATCTTTCCATGTGAGGCCGAATTGACCTCAACAAGTATGTATAGAATTGCACCAGCCTACTAATTTGGCACCATCTCTCCCATCTGTGCTGCAGACTCTCTGAGTGCCTTACTTGAATTACAGCAACCAGCATGGTGTCTGGCACACAGTAAGTGCTCAATAAATGCTTGCTAACTCTGTTCTCAGTAACCCGGAACTTTCCATACACATTAAGGCTCCACTATTTCTCCCTTCTTCCCTTTCCTCCTTCCTCCACTTCTTCCGGATGGTTCAAAAGAGAGACCACTGGGACATGCCAGAGGGAAGGTCCCCTCCCTGCCCCCGCCTGTCTTCTCTAAGTTAGGAGCAAAGCTAAGTTGGCAATTGATTCAAAAGAAGCAGTTCCCTGGGTTGAGGCTATTTTACATGTTTTCATTGCTCACAATACCCGTTATCATTAGCAGCAATTAAAACTATTTTAGCATCAGTTCAAAGCTGCCTTTGAGGTATTTTAAGTTGGCCAGAAGTTCTCCATGTGTCTATCTTGAAGCCAATACATTAAGCCTGCTTGCATTTTGACTGCCTTAACATTTCATAAATTGCAGGGGTGTTTGTCAAAAGTGGTTTAATGTCCCCAAAGGTGTTTGGACCTGTCCTACAAGTGCCACTCTCAACTTCTATTAAGTGGACGGGACAGTGGAGATAAGAGGGGAGGAGAGGGATCTGCTTAGGGTCTTTCCCTAAGAGCCAGTCCCTCCTGCCAGGAGGAGTTTCCATGAACCCAAGGGAGGGTAGCAATAATTGGGGCAAGAAGGGGAGGGCTTGGTCTAGGGTGGGGGCACCAGGAATTGGGAGGAAGGGGGGAACCCAGTTTGGAGGGCTGGACTGTGAGGAGGGGACTGTGAAGGCCTTCTGGACGCCTTAAGTAATCTTCATAGTTGATTGAAAGACAAAAACAGGGAAAGAGCCGGTTTTGGCAAATTGGACTTCTAGGGAGTTAGTCAGCAACTTGCTGTGACCAAGTCTTGGTTGGTTCAGGACATGACCCTGGGTTTGGAGGGCTCTCAGTGGCATTGGGGCATGGGGACCACTACTCGCCAGACACCTCCAAGACCCTCCAGGTCCATGATGTGCATAAAACATTGCTGTCTGCTGGCAGGTTGGGTTCTGGTGGGCTGAGCTGGGTGGGATTCCCAAGGAAGGATTCTTAAGCTGCGTGGTCAAGGAGGGTGGGAGGGCAGTCCAGATGGGAAGAAGAGGTTCTGGAGCAGTGGAGAACTGAGAAAGGGCCCCGCAGGCAGGAATGTTCTGTCCCTCAGTGGCAACATTGGCCTGTTCGGTGAGGGCTGGGGCAGGTACACTCATCTTGAGAGGGTCTGGAAGGGATCAAGAAGGGGACCAGGCAGGGACAAGGTGTCCTACCCAAAGGGGTCCTTTGCCAGGACTGGATGTGAGTCCTGCTCAGCACCAGTGGCATTGGTGGTCTGAGGGCTTACGGTTTGGGGATAAGGAACTGCTACTGCCTCAGGCGTCCCAACACAGCTTGCTCTGGTCAGAGCCCACCCAGACTCCTTGGGCTCTGATCTGAATTCCTAACTAGATTTTTGTGCTGAGTTCACCTCTTCTCCCCTCCTTCCAGCTTGAAGTCCTGGTGCCATAAATCTATTGAAGCAGAACGCTGGAAGCAGAATGTGGGCTGTGCTCCAAGGAGCTGTGCCACCAACCCCCTATGTAAACCCTCCTACTCACCCGGGGACAGGGACCCCAGAATGGGGTGTGCAGCCCTGGGGTGGGCAAACACAGGGACGTGCTCTTGATGACGACTGCCCAGGGATGGGACGAACGGAGGGCATCCATGTCCTTGGCCCTACGGGGTGGAAGAGAACAGAAGGCAAGATAACCCACTTCAAAAGCGGCTCCTTTCAAAGCAGTTGTGGCTGTGTACTGGGGGCTGCTTTAAATGGGTCAGCCTTCATATGTGCTTGGGTCTCCAACTTGTCGAAACTTGGCTGTTAAACATCTCTATTTTGTTTTCATTAGCTTGTAAGCCATGGCGATGGGGGACCTGCCTAGTTTTCTGAACCAGCATGTGTGCCCAGAGTCTAATAAACAGCAGGTGCCTCCAATAAATGTGATTTTAGTACTCAATGTAAATGTGTGCGCGTCAATATGTGAAGGGAAAACAAAAATCAAATCAAACCCACTGCCGTTGAGTCAATTCCGACTCATAGCGACCCTATAGGACAGAGTAGAAATGCCCCATAGGGTTTCCAAGGCTGTAATCTTTACAGAAGCAGACCGCCACATCTTTGTCCCATGGAGCGGCTGGTAGGTTTGAACTGTCAACCTTTTAGTTAGTAGCCGAGCACTTAACCACTGTACCACCAGGGCTCCTATGTGAAACATGGGTGCAAATTCTACCTGTAAGTTACACAAGTCCTGAGCCATCTTGAAATGAGAGCTGTAGTGTGGTTGTGTGTGTGGGGGGTGTACGTTATGTGTGCAGGATATGTGTGCAGTGTGTGGGGAGTGTGTTTTGTGGGCAGTGTATGTATGTGTGGTGTGAGGTTAGGAGTGAGTGTGTATGTGAGTGTGTGTGTGATGTGTGTGATACCTGTGTGTCAGGGTGTATGTGTGATGTGTATGTGAGTGTATCTGTTTCAAGAGAAGGCTCTGACAGATTTGTTAGAGATAAAACCAGCTAGCTATATAATTTGCGGCACCCAGTGCAAAATGAAAATGTGGGGCATGTTGTCAACAAATTATTAAAAATTCGGGACAGCAAAGCAGAGCATCAAGCCACACTCGAGGCCTTTCTGAGCACGATGCCTGTGCCTTTTTCTCCCCTCAGCCTTCCCATGCTGCCTTTAAAAGGCCTTGAACCTCCCTGTGCTCTCTTCTCATCTACTTCCCCAGGGTGACCTTGACCCCAGGAATAGGGGAGGCGCTGGAGCAGGGTGCAGAGGAGCTGAAAGTGCAGCCAGGATAGGTCCCTTAGCTGTGGCCTGTGCGTTGCAGGGCTGGTCCCAAACTTCCCTGACCTTCCTCTGTTTTGGTCTGGGCCTCCTCAGGGGCACCAGGGTCCACAAGGTATCTCTCGGCTCTCTGTTCAAAAGCGATCTCCTTAGAATGTCCAGGTGCCCTCACAGTTCCCCCCTCCCCCAACCCCTGCGTGATGCCCCTGCCCTCTACTCTGAGCTTCAGGCTCCTCTCCGAGCCCCCACTGTGCTCCCCAGAAGTCGCCAGGCAGCACAGAGTCTACAGAGCATGCGTCTCTGAATGCCAGTGCGTCCCCACAGCCCACTGAGGGCTTCAGTTTTCAGGGGTCTCGATGGGTCCTGCCTGGACCTGTGCTGATCTGCATGGCTGTCCCTGGGAGGAGAAGCAGCAAAGGGGACCAGGGAGCCGGGCAGGAGTGGGCTGGCAGAACTCATGGCCCAGAAATCTCTGTGTTGGGGTGTGGAGGGTAGAGAGTCCTTGAGCCCTTCCTGCTTACTGTCCTGATTTGCCCCCTCTCAGTTAAGTGCCGTGTGCCTGCTTCAGATCACCCTCAGGGCATGCCAGTGAGTCATAATGAGGGTGTTCCCGCCCCAATACCAGTACTCATCAATAATTAGCAGTGGCTTCCTAAGTTCTGGGAGGAGGCAGAAAGCCAGGCCTGCCCCAGCTGGTTTAGCTCAGTGCACCATTAACATAGCAATTCCAAGGTCCCTAAGTGGTGCTTGGGAGTTCCAGGT